GCTCAGCTACCTCGGTTGCCTTGGTCTGGTTTACAGCCAGGGCACGGGGGTAGCAAAACGGGGTGAAGTAACAATCAGCCCTACCGGCCTTGACTGGCAGGAAGGCTGGAGAGCAGGCTTGGTCCTCGACACTGCGATATGCTATTCCCCGAAGCCTCTCAGACTTGTAAAACGATGGTCGACTTCAGCTCTATGTCCATCAGGGAGAAACTAAAGGAAAAGTAACTTTTCGTAGTTAAAGTAGGTTCTTTAAAAATGGTTTCAGGTTTGTTATTTCACGTGTTTGAGAGTATTGGCGTGTCTCCGTGTGCACAGCATGCTTGTGTGGTGCTCAGAGGTCAGAACTGGAGTTAGATGGCTGTAAGTCGCCATGTAGGTGCTGGGAATTGAACCGAGATCCTCTGCAAGAACAACAAACGCTCTTACTGTGGAGCCATCTCTCCAGCCCCTAATGAGTTGTTTGTTTTTAACAGAAATGTTGCACATTGGTATGAGGGTTTCTGAAACTGAGAGCATGAACTAGTGAAGTTGGCACAATCATTTCTACCCACGACAGCAAAGGCCATCCCTAACATTCTCTTGCAGATTCTGTTAGACATCTTGCTTCAGGCTTTCATCTCTAATGGAACAGTTTAACTTAACCCTGTAGTATTGTGCAACTCGGCTTCTTCCAAATTTGTAATTCCTTTTATCCTATGTGCAGTTTGCTTACCTTACCTTTGTTGGGGTTGTGGAGGCTTTTTAAGTTGGGCAGTTGGTGTGTTGCTGGCTTCTGCTAATGACACTTTAATTTAAAATCCAAGTCAAGCCCTTTCCCACTGAGAATTGATCCTCCGTGTTCTCGTGGGGTGATTTTTTTTCCTTTGTAGCCGCTGACTTTAAAACAACTTTCTGAACTCCATCCTTACACTGTTACATGGAAGACTGTCCTATGTCAGGCTTTTACATCATTGAATTTACAAGAAAAGTGTTTAGCTTTATTTGAAGTTACCCCAAGAATCAACCCTTACTTGTAGCTATGACTTACCTGTTACACTATAAAGCACCCAAAACTATGTCTGGCTCAGTGCAGCCTTCACTGCATCCTTCACCGTAGCTGGTACTCGACTTTCTGTTACCATGGATTCCTGATACTAGGCCAGTATCTGTCTCAAGTTTCTTCCAGGTGCTAGATGTCTGGTCTGATGTGGAGTTGACTGTTGCTGCATTTCTTCCAAGATCAGAAGGGACGCTTTTGGTGTTTATATCAAAGGCTAACGAGGAAGCGCCCAGAGTTTTCCAGGGTGGCCCACTTGACCTTAATTCCAGCATTGGTGTATGATGGGAGATGTCATTCTGTAAATATGTGTCTCTACTGGTTAATGAATAAAGCATTGTTGGCCAATAGGAAAGCAAGATAGGTGGGACTAGGAGACGAGGATTCGAGGAAGTAGTAAGGAGGAGTCAGCATGTAGAGACAGAAGAGAACAGAGGTCTCCGGTAAGATGAGACCACATGGACATACTTAGATTAATAGAAATGGGTTAATACTTAGAGCTAGCTGATAAGAAACAAATAACTGGCCAACAGCATTATATCTAATACAGAGTCTCTGTGTTAAAGCGGGAAAAACCTTAGTCCTTACAGGTGTATAGTTCACAGCGATGAGATCAGAGTCACCAGTGTGGGAATGGTACGCCTGCACCCGAATTGAATGCCATGGGAGTGTAATCAGTTACCTGTTACTCAGCCGTGGCTTTTTCACTTCTCCAGGGCCATGAGGGAATGTTAGTGGAAATACACAGTACCCTCAAATCATATAAGCGCCTTCACCTTCAGTTTTTGAAGCACTATTTATTGGTAAGCCTTCTGGGAGAGCATCCAGTGCCATTAGCTGTGAGAATGGGTCTGGGCTCTATGTCTTTTACCCGGGGAGCTTTAAAAAATGATTTCCTGGTCAATCCCAGGAAACCTGATTGAACTGGTCGTAAGTGGTATCTTTAAAAAGGCCCTCAGGTGATTTGGAAGTAGGGGCTAGTAGTGGCAGAAGAGAGGGCCCAGTTGATGCTAACTATGGCTTTTCTTAGGCTAACTTTGTTGGCTCTGCTCTCTGTCTATACTCTGAGACATGGCCTTCCTCATTTACACTGTGTCTGTAAATTAAACTAGCACAGAGCAGAATACAGCTTTGAACCAGGAGAATTTCAAGTCTTGTCTGTTGTCTCTTTACTGACAGTATAACCACGGAGAAGTTTACTGAGTTTTAGTTTCCCCACTGATCAAAAGGTTATCACAATGAAGCATCATTGTAAGGGAAGGCTAAATCATTAGCATGGTGAGAAAACCTTAAGCACTGTATCCGGTTCATAAAGTTTCAGTACACTTTTGTGTGTATATGCATGTACAGTGAATCTCTCTCTCTCTCTCTCTCTCTCTCTCTCTCTCTCTCTCTTTCTCTGTGTGTGTGTGGGGGGGGGTTAAAGGCTAGAAGTCTTCCTTTGTCACTATCCACCTGAGTTTGGGGGACAGGATCTCTTACTGAACTTGGGGAGTATACTGTTCAGCCTGCCTTGTCTCCATCCTTTGGCTCCTGGGTTACAGATACCGTGCTTTTTACTTGGGCACTGGGGATCCAAACTCAGGTCCTTGTGCTTGTTTAGGGAAAGGCCTTCACCACTGAGCCACATCCCCAGCTTCCTCAGTGTGTGTACTTATTTTCCTGTCTCATCCTTGCAAAGCTCCGGGATTGTGGCATCACAGGAATGAAGAGAAAACAGTTCACATGGACTCACAGAAGCAGGATAAATCTACAGCATCTCTGCAGCTCACTGTGTTTAAGATATTTAGTTGGACAGAGGTGGTGGTGTTGCATCCTGCTGAACCAAGGGGCTGGTTATTACATATAAACACTCAACCTGGTCTGTCTATGACATGCTTGGTCAAGGTTGGTCATGTGGTTTGAGTTCTGAGAACAAGGTTATTTGAGTGACATATGTTTCATGTGGATGTGAAGCTCGTGCCATTTACCAAGGTTCATTATATGGTTACCCAACTTTGTAATAATGGCGGTGGCACCAGACTTTGGTTTTACAGCACCTATGAAGTGATAACATTTCAGAGGTGAATTCAGAAATATCATTCTGTTACTATATGTAACCTATTTTTTTTTTTTTTTTTATCATGAACGTAAATCTTTCTGCATCTCGGTCCATGCTCCGAGTCACGGGAAAATTCGGTGTAGCCTGCACTCAGGAAACAGCTTATTATTCATGACAGTGACTTAGGGTCACTGCCTCATTGAGGTGTGACACAATACCCATCCCTTGCCCACCTACCCAGCTCCAAATGGAAGCTCAAGCTAACAAGAACATGGCAGGCCTTTTGTTACTTCTGGGTTCATGTCTAGATCAGAGAACTGGGAGGATCTTCTGAGGGCCTTTCTCAAAGGCAGTGAGCATGTGCCCGTGGACAGTGACAACTGAGAACAACCTATGACCCTCCGGTGTTTCTCGGTGTTTCTCGGTGCCTTGTGAAGTCTAAGGGCACAAAAGAATTTAGGATGAGCATAAGATTTTCAAAATCACCAGAAGCTGAACCCCAACTTTTGCTTCATTACTATTGTCAAAAGACAACAGGTTTAGTTTTCAAACTATAATTAGTACAATCACAAGCATCTCTCTTGCTCATACTTAATTGGCTTTTATTTGTGATTCTTCAATCGGGCCTTAAAACCACAGTGAGCCAAGGCTGCAAGGTGGTCAGAGAACAATTATGGGCACAAAATGGAAGTGACCCGCAGGGACAGCATAATTGATGATGCCTGGGTGATTGCCTTATTTGAATCAGCTAGTCACTGGGTTTGGAGCTGAGCTGCTGGAATGGGCTAAGACTCAGCTATTTGTTATAAGACGTTACTCCCCAATTAGGCTTTCAGTCACTCTCGACCAAGTTAGGCTGCAGTTGTTACACAAAGACTCAGTTTCAATGGCATCCTCCGGCCTAAATTTAATTTAGTTTATTACTACCTATGCTGGAAATCAGCAAGCTTTCTCTGTTAAAGGGGCCAGCTAGCAGTTACTTTAGAATGTGCAGAAATATGATCTCAGTTACAGCTATTTGACTCTGTGGTTGTTGACAGAAATAAATGACTGTGGGCAATATCTCTATAAATGGGCAGGGCTGTGTTTCAGTCAAACTTTGTTTATAGCGTGGCCAAATTGGGAGTGATGCAGTAGCCTACCCATCCTGAGCTGCTTGCATGATCTCCCACCAAGAAGTTCCATTTCCTAAGCTGTCTGGAGAACAAGTTGTCACATAATGCAATACCATGCGGTAAGCATGTAGTAACTGAAAACCAGACAAATGGGTTCCCGCAGTGGCAGCTCATGCCTGATAGGTAGGCTTCCCACCCGAGGAACCAGATCTGGGAAGAATGCAGGTCCCAGGCCTCTACTAATGGTTTGGAAGGGCCACGTCTCCAAAGGAAAGCCATGGCTTTTATTGGGTTTATTAAAAGTATTATACCCCAGCCCAAGGAAATGGCTGAGGGGATAAAATGCTTGGCTCTCAAGCATGGGGACCTAAATTTGAGCTCAGAACTCATGTAAAAAAGAAGTCGGGCTACTGTGGTAAGGAGGCAGAAACAGCTGGATCCCGGGGCTCACTGTTTAGGTATCTTAAGTCTAGTAGGTGGGTTACAGGCCAATGAGAGACTGTTTCAAAAGAGAAAGAAATGTCACGTGGCACCTGAGATTGTCCCTGGCTTCTGTAGACCCATGCACACGCTGCTGTCATGGACACTAGCATTTTCTCTCATTTCCATACTCTCCCTACAAATAAGTGTATGACATAACATCCAACTTCCGTTGTCAATAATCCTATGAAGCATCTGCGTTTCAAGTCTGATAAATGGTAATTATTTATAGAATAAGATCAGATTTAGGGTTTTAAGTCTTGCTCTACAGGGTGGTAGTTTTAAAACTTGTGTAACAAATGCCTTCATGGTTCTATTTTCCTTACAGAGACACATGCCATGAACTCTTGGGACATGTTCCACTGCTAGCAGATCCTAAATTTGCTCAATTTTCACAAGAAATAGGCTTAGCGTCTCTGGGAGCCTCGGATGATGATGTTCAGAAACTAGCTACGGTGAGTTAATTTTCAACTTTAAAAAAAAAAAATCTGTTCAGTGCCTTAATTGTATGGTGAAATAAAGCTCAGGGACAGTAACTATGAATCTTAGGCAAATGTTCTGGAGAGAGCGTGATTTCACCAAACCTATGTTCTCATTTTACAAAAGATAATGAACTCTTGGTTGGTTAACTACCAAAATATGTATTTTAGTCTTCCTGTGCAGAGGTTGGCTGGATACACATAAAGTGTTAGTGTTTTGAGAGCCGTGTAATTATTGTCAAATTAGTTGAGCTGCTGTGGAACAAAAGTAGCCATAGATGACACATGAATGAATGCTTATGGATGTATTTTAATAAAACTTTATTCACAAAAACCAGAGCTGGGCTAGATTTGGTCTATAGCTACACTTTACTGAATCCTGTGAAAATATTTGTCATAGTAAAAGGTGTATATTTGTTGCAGAGTAGGAACTGCAGGTAGTATTATTTCTTTGACACATTGATATGGTTATAATCAGAAATGATTTAAGACAGCGTTAAACTCAGACTCAAAAGTTATTCTAAATACAAAACCAGAAGAGATTGGTTAGATGATATATCAGGAAGGGTCTTCCCCAGATAGGCGATGTAAGAGGAAAAGCAGCATTGGATGTTGTGCTGAAGATGTTAAAGAACCAAATCGAGAAAACTTACATACCATACTGCTTCATGATTTTAGACCAGGACTAGAAAGATGTTTAGACACTAACCGACCTGAAAGCTTAAATGAATATAGCCACGTGGTAAGGAGAGGAAGTCTTCAGTTGAGTGTTCACCACAATAAAATAGCAAAAGAACACTCTATACTCCCAACAAGAATTAGTTTTTTTCTGGGCTGGGAGGTGGCTTAGTTGCTTGCTATGCAAGCACGAAAACCTGAGTTCAAATCCTTAGCACCCAACTAGTTACAGTGGAATGGGCCCATAATCTCAGCTTGGTGGTGGTGCGAGACAGACTGGTCCTAAATCTTGCTGGCCAGCCAGTGATGTCTGGGTCCAGTGAGGAACCTTGTCCCCGAAGCTAAGGTGGAAAACAATAGAAGATTTCTAACACTGACCTCTGACCTTCAAGCAGGTGCACTTACATACACATATACATACAGCAAACAGATAAAACTTGGAAATACATTTTCTTGTGTATATGTGTACGTGTGTGTGAATGCATGTATGTTTATATGTGTGAGTAGGGATCCAGAGGACAGCCTCAAGTGTCGTTCTGCAGGCGTTGCCCGTCTTTGTGCTGAAACAGGGTCTCTTTATTGGCCTGAGACTCAACAAGTAGTTATCTGGGGGTTGTCCACTTCTGCCTGGTATTACAAGCAAGTACTACCATGCCCAGACCTTTTACTATTTAAATGTTTTCATTTATTTAATCTATCTTTATTAGTTTATTTATTCATCTATTTAAAGTTACTTTTATTTATTCGCTATTGTCTATCTTTAACTATAGGTTCTGGGAATGAACTCAGATCTTTGTGCTTCTGAGACAAACACTCTACTGATTGAGAAGTCTCCTCAACCCTATCCTAATTTTCTTTAAAATGAAACAAAAAACCCAATAAGTTTTTTTAGTATATCATCTGTTTTCCTACCTTTGTTGGAGATGTGGGAACCATGGAATATATTTCTCTTCTAAAAGAAAAGCCAGAATAGAAGTAGCTCTATTTGTTTTTTCATTTATGATAATCTCTCCCCATCTCAAGACCCAGACATACATAGGCTTTTAATACCAGTGCTTAGGAAGCAGAAGCTTCGAGATCTCTGAGTTCGAGGCCAGCCCGGTCTACTGAACGAGTTCTAGGACAGCCATGACTACCCTGTTTGTTTTTTAAAGGCCCATACATGTAATAAGAGCTAAAAGAACATGTTCACAGGTTCTGAGGATTAAATTAGGGCTTGGATAGCTTTAGGGGTATTATTTCTACTTATGTGTTTTCTAGGGAAAACATAATACCTATAACTTGAAACTTTCCTTACAAGGGCAGGTAGAATTTTTTTTTAATTTTTCTTATCTTACATATCAATTCCAGTTCCCTCCCCGATCCTCCCTCCCATGCCCCCCTCCCACCCTCCCACCCCATTCCTCAGATAGGGTGATCAGGCAGAATTTTTTGATGAGAAAATTTCTTACTATGCTCCCAATATCCTTGGCTGTCTCAGCTCCATACATTAAAACATTTGTAATTGGTAGAGTTCATTAGGCCATTTTTTTTTCATATTCTTTTGCCTTTCTCTTTCTCCCTGCCCCTGTTTTCTCTTCTCTGAATTGGACCTCATTTGCTTCTAGGCTTCTGTGATAAAAACATGTCGAGCAATACGAGTTGGGGCAGAGAGGCTGTAGTTAGCTAACGCTTCCTCACCACAGTCCATTATTGAGGGAAGTCAGGGCAGGAACTGTGGAGAAAGGCTGCTTACTGGCCAGCTGGCTTTCCATGACTTGTTCAGTTTGCTTACACAACCAGGTTTGCCTGCCCCAGGAATGGCACCTTGCACAATGGGCTGGCCTCTCCACGTCAATCATTAACAAAGAATGTGCCTGAGTGGCAATATTCCGGAGGCAGTTCCTTAACCGAGGCTTCCTCTTCCCAGATGACTCGTGTTTGTGTCAGCTGCGTTTGCGACTAGAATCCTAATCAAGGGCATAATCTAGAAAAGACAGTATTTTCCAACTACGGAATAACTGACAGGTGATGGTTGAGTGCCCAGTGAGAAGTGCAGCTTGCTTGCAATCCTGCAGTAGTTCTGACCTGGTTAAAAAGGTTATAAGACTGGAATGGAGAAGATTTTGCATCTCTGCCAATATAGTAGAGGGGTGTGTGAGTGCCCGTGTATTTGTCCATGCATGTATGCAGTGACGCCTTTCTTAAGCTTGGTTGACTCACTTCTATTGACACTGCCTGACCTCCCATCACCAATCCCTCTGACCTTCGGCTTCTTACAAGCCCTGCAGTTCCAATTTTGTGAGTTGGTTTATTTTGAAGTGGGGCAAATTCAATGAAGGGTCTGGACAGTGATGCCAGGGCTATGGAGAATGACACTCCACCCTGTGGCAAAGCTGGTGACTTTTGTGAAATGGGGAATGCAATTGCCATTGACACATTGAGCTATTGCCCATCTCTCAGTGAAAAACAGTGGGAAAAGACTGGAAAGTGGCCTTGGACGAGAACAGAATCCAACCAGACCATTTCATAGTACAAGATGGATAAACAGCTTGCTGGCTAACTTGCGTATCAATGACTTTTGCGTCACGCAGGGAAGCTAGAAGGCCAACTGAGTGACTCATTTGTAAAGGCCAAGAGCTTAAGCATTCAAGCCTCAGTGGCAGGGGCAAGAAATCCTATGGTCAGGGAGGATTGTGGTGGGCTATGCCTGATGAGAAAGGGGGCTATTATTAGTCCCGTCCTCAAATTTGTTTGCATCAAATTCCCCGAAGAAACAGTGAGGCTGAGAGGGTAACTTGTTAAAAATGAGAAGAACCCACAGAAGAAATAGATGGCAAACTACCACCATTGCTATTTAAGTAGACTGTGAGCCAGGCTGTGTAATTCCTATACTTCAGGTGAGATTTATATTATTAATGCCTCTGTTTATCCAGTACCTGCTTTTCATTGTTGATAGTGAATTTAAGCAATATTAAAAAATGAATTATGACTCATGAAAGAAGACGTTTAATAACTCCCTGGGATGCTCTGTGAACAGATCTGTCTGAGGGGGGAAGCAACATCCACTCAGGCTAATTGGCACTGCCAACTTGGTGTAGTCTAAGGCTGCTTTTGGACATGCGGATCTGGTTTATGGAGAATCCGGGATGCATTGCCTGTAGAACACTGTATTCCCTTGATTTATTTCTGCCTGGTATTTATTTCGACATGATGTTAAAAATGCTTGGTTTCGAGAATGAAGCTATCTCTGCTGCTTCCTGTGGGCAATGGTTTTTATGCCCCAAGAACCATTTAAATGAACCACTTTTGTATCTAAAGAAATTGATGATGATGCTTGGGAAAATGTGTTTCAAATGCATTGTTATACATGTAAATAATTTGCCCTCTGGTGGATAATGAATAAGGCCATTAGTTTTGGCTGCTAGAGTCTTCTTACTCCTCATAGCTATCCCAAGCCTGTGCATGACAGATACGCAAAAAAAACCAAAACAAAACAAACAAACAAAAAAAAACAAAACAAAAAAAAACAACAACAACAACAACAAAAAAACCTTCCAATAAGGGCTATATGGCATGTGTTACAATTTTGAGATAAAGTTCTTCTCATTGCTGGTTAAAGCGGATTTAATACATTAGTGTGTATGTTGGGGTTTGTAAACTTAAGTGCCTTCTGTGGCCAGATAGGTAGCAAACATCTATGAAACAGCGTGATAGAAATTACTATGAACCCTTAGATTCTGTGGAGAAAATACATCACACCTGAAGCCTTTAGATGCAAAATTAAAACAAAACTTAAAGGTCCGTTGTTAACGGATTACATCTATAAGGAGAAACAGAAGTGTAGAATCAAAGTGGCAGGTCTTTGTTTTATGCTAGACTACACCATGTTTAAGGGACAAGATCATGTGAGATTTATCTTTACAATATACTGCTTATCCCCAACTCTACAGTTCTGTTTAGTAGACAAATTTTTTTTGTTCTCTGAGAAAAGATGGCTTGAAAGACAAGTTGATTTGAAGTAGAACTTAAGTTGTTTGTATCTGCTTATTTTGTGTATGTGTGTTTCGTATGTATGTGTGCAGGTGTGTGCCTTTGTACAAATGTACAAGTCGGGATAATTTATTGGAGTCATTTTTTCTTTCTACCATGTGGGTTCAGAGGGTCAAATTCAGATGGGAAGTATATTTACCTGCTGAGCCATCTCACAGACCCTGAATTAAAACTTCAAATAGTTGTACAACGTGATTTCCATACATGGCCTGAGCATGTTTCAATATGTAATTCGATTCATTAATGTAGGAAAAAATAGGACTGTA